GGTATGGGGTATTCTTTTCTTTTCTCTTTCTGTTAGCCCAATCACAATCATTCAATAGGGGTAGTATATTCTCTCATTCTCTCTTTTTCTTTCTCTCTGCGTATTAAAGAGTCACAGCATTAGGAAGGTTGAGAACCACCGAGTTAAAGAAAGATGGAGCCTGCGGCAGGAACCAAGCCAGGGAAGGCGTGCTGAGGGGCAAGTGCTGCCTGCCTGTTTCAGATAGGATGGAGGCATTTTCCCCCAGGGAGTCCATAGAGAAAGAGACACTGGAGGTGCCGAGCAAGGGATAACTAAGTGGTACCGGGGATCCCCCTAACATGAGCAGGGATGATACACGGCATCCTAAACGCTCCAATGGTCTCTAGCCAAAAACCAGAGGAACCCAACACCGGCTGTGTGCAACGATGCCCATCATGACAACATGCCCAACATATACATCGAGAACTGCAACATGCATCCCTTTGAGAGTTGCAACGCGGTTATCGCATTTTTTCAACGACTTATCTAACCACTGCAGTTAACAATGGCCATCCAAAAGCCTATGCTGCTTCAGTTTTAAGAATCACTATTTTTTTTTCCAGCCAGTAACAGAGTGAAACCCTCTTTCCTAAGAAACACCAGGCAAGTAACCTCTTTAGAAAATACAGTTCTAATTCCTAAATGTGACACAGCTGCCCTCATTAAACCTGACAGCTCCCGGGAAGGCATTTTTCTCAGATTTGTTCCTTGTTTGGTTTTGGTCAAGGGAACAGGTCTAAACTGACTCCTGCAGTTATGTAACCGTGGTGTTGGTGACCCTGGGGTATTGTGAATGGAGAGCCTGGGATGTGTCGAATTTGTCCAGTTTCCTATGGACTGCTAACACTCCACTCTGCCTGGTGACCTTCCATAGATGTCATCAGATGACACAGGGCTGCATGTGCTACAAATGTTGTATGGAAGGGGTGGCTGTTAGGAGTTCACGAGAGCCCATTCATTCTCTGCCCACTGCCAATTTCGTTGTTAGCCCACCTGCTCAGTTCTAAAGTCTAGCACTGGGGGGAGACAGTTTAGAGAGTGCATGAGGAGATGGGGCAAAGAAGAGCACCGAATGAAGAATAATTGTCCCAGTAGGCTTTGCAATCTCTCATAAACATCTCCATTTACGTGTCCTTCAGGATTGGGTATTGAGTGTGCACCCATGGCACATGCTTCCCTGGAAGTAAAAAATAAATATATAAAAAAAGTAAAAAGCTCTCAGGTGCAGGTGCTAAGGAGCTGAAGTCAGGTGGCCAGCCTGGAACCCAGATCTATTCTAGGAAGAGAACGTAGTGATTGTTGGGGGCTGTCCATGATGACGTGTTCCTCAGACGGTCTTGCATAGGAACCACTCAGTGGCTAGGTTCCTAGGGGCCTTGGGCGCTCCCTATCAGACAGCCAGTGACTGTGACTGGAGGCCAAGTGGCAAGGGAGTGACTCTTGTTGGCAGTCCGGGGTCTCTGACTTTTTTTTTTTTTTAATGTATACAATATTCTGTCTGTGTATATACCTGCAGGCCAGAAGAGGGCACCAGACCTCATTACAGATGGTTGTGAGCCACCATGTGGTTGCTGGGAATTGAACTCAGGACCTTTGGAAGAGCAAGCAATGCTCTTAACCACTAAGCCATCTCTCCAGCCCCTGTCTCTGACTTTTAAATGCAGCGACTGCGCGTCTCCAGCTCAGATGCTGACTGTGGTATTCTGAGAATGCCCCAAAGGTGCCAGTGAAAAGGTCCTTGAGGCACAGTCCGGGGAAAAGCATGAGGATTTGCCTATAGTGTGTCAAGCCCAGCAGGGTGGCCACTGGGACATGTTGACTGGAGACGACGTTGGAACAAAAGGGTGGCCTTTGTAGCACCCCTACCTCATTCCCCCATTTTCTCTTGCAGTTTAAAATTCCACTTCTGTCAGTTCACCCCCAATTAATGTCACTGCAGAATCTTACCATCCTAGCTGTTAAAACACAGAGAGTTGTTGCCTGGACTCTCCCCCAGTATGCCACAGGAAGATTTAAAACGCACACTCTCATCCTCAATAGCAAAGAGATGGGCGTCCAGAAGGGAAATTGCCATCCAGACAGTTGTTTTGCAGAGTCCTAACGCTGCTACCACCTAGGTCAGGGCTCTGCTTATAAAACAGGGAGAGCCCTTCAGATGACTACCACTAGGGGGCACCTGGCATGGGGATCGTCTATGCAACCAGGCTCTGGGGTGAGCTCCGTGGTCAAACCTGTAGGTGGCACCATCCAGAGCTGCCATACTTGGAGAGAGCAAGCCATTGTTCCAGTGCTGATCTCGGCCTGTCTGTCTCTAGAACTGCATTTGATTCTCACGGGCTCTTGTAACTTTTGCTCCCTGAACCTCATCAGTGAGTGGAAAGGGAGCACGTAACTCAGGAGGCAGAGAAGGCCCCCAAGAGTGTGGCTAAATGGCATATGCAAGATGCCGGAAGTCAGTTACATCTGGTGCTACATAGACTAAGTGGAATATGACCTGATTGATTTTTTTTTAAAATTGTAGTTTTAAGTCCTGTTTTCACAGAGAGCCATGCTGGATCCCAATTCTACATACTTTACAAAAAAGCAGGCAATTCTATCTATCACAAGCAGCGATTTCATGTTTCTCACACCGTTGGGAATTTCTTAAAACACCGTATAGAATCAATTTACAAAACAGAGCCATAATCTAAAAGCACCACAGGGAGCTGAAGGCAGCTTGCCAATGAGCAGTGGGTGTACTTGAGTGAAATTCTCGTCTGTGTATTTGGAACTGAGGCAGTCAGGGAGGCCTTTGCAGACCATCAGAGCTTATGAAGGCAGAGGAACCTCTGGTGCTCATGGGAGTGGGACTCAGTGACTTGTCCCAAAAAGAGTCAGGTAGTAGGGAGGTGCAGGTTACCTGAATGTTTTAGTGTTGTTTTAAGACAGATAGAGATCAAAAATTGCCCTCAATTGTTTACGGGCTGGAAGGACAGACACCAGTACCATAGGTACAGGGACCTGAGTTCAAATTCTTTCATGTTTCATTCCTGCTTGTGGTCAGGAAGCCTGGGGTGCAACCTGTTTTGTAACTCACTAGGCATACTCAGATTTGGTTTTCCTGAGCTCTCTTAATTCTTCCAAGCTATGAAAGTTTTTTTTTTTTCCTTGGGTGTTCAGGGAGGTGACAGCAGGCAGTTAGATGACCTTCTTTGCAGGACTCATGAAAACAATCAGCTCACTGGGAGAAATGGCTCAATGGCTAAATACTTGCCACACCAGTGTGAGGATGTGAGCTCAGATCCCCAGAGCCCAGGTAAAGCTGGATGCAGGTATGTATGCCATGCAGCCAGTATTCCTATGGTGAGCTGGGAGGTGGAGACAGGACACTTTCTACATGCTGAAAAGCTAGCCTGGCATCTGTGGAGATAAGAGAGATACTGTCTCAAACAAGTGGAGGTGACAAGCAGCAAGAGAGGCTATCTTTAGACCTCCACACAGACCCTTGGCACATATGCACACACACAGACCCGTGGTGCATATGCATACACAGACACACGGCACATATGCATACACACAGACCCATGGCGCATATGCATACACAGACCCTCGGCACATATGCACACACACAGACCCATGGCGCATATGCATACACAGACACACGGCACATATGCATACACACAGACCCGTGGCACATATGCATACACACAGGCCCATAGCATATATGCATCCACACAGACCCGTGGCACATATGCATCCACACAGACCCGTGGCACATATGCATCCACATAGACCCGTGGCACATATGCACACACACAGACCCATGGCACATATGCACACACACAGACCCATGGCACATATGCACACACACAGACCCGTGGCACACAGTCAAGCGAAACAGTCAAGCGAAGGGGACGTATCCGAGCACTGTGCACTGGAGGCAGCTTTATCAGAAAGGGCAAGTGTGAGCATGGGTAAGCCATGCAATGAAAACTACCAGACTCTACTGTTGATTTCCCAGTTCTGTTCTCCTCCACTGTCAGCTGACTTTGGTAAGCAGATGCCCATGTGACTGTGGTGACGACTGCTTCCCAGAGAGTATGCATAGAAGTTGCAGACTCCATGGAGAGCTTCATTTCTTCCTCTCGTTTCTAATGGAAAGCCGAAGGGCAGCTTGGCACACAGAAACTGGGGTGACTGATTCATTGAAGAGTGCTGCGGGAGCTATTTCTGCTCCTTCAACCAATAGCTTTTGAGGTACCAGCCCACTGGGGTGTGGTGTCTTTCGCTTTAAAAACAAGCGGCGGCAGCCCTCTCTCTCTCTTGCCATGTGCCATAGCATGTCAATACACGCTCCCTCCACTAGCCAAGGACACGCTGGACCACAGCGACCTCTAAAAGGGTTTGAGAGGAGCAGATGATGCCAGGCGAGAGTCCCCTCTACTCTATCATCTTCCAAAGTGAGAGACCATTGTCCTTTTTCAAGAGAGGCCGGAAGCTACGGGAGTAAGACCTTCTGCTATGAGATGGAGGTGAGAACAGGCCCTAAATGAGTTGATACATGTGAAATACACTGCCCAACACCTAGAGAACTTAACAAATGTCAGCTATGACATCGCCCTCATTGTGTACGGATGTATAAGAGTTCCATAAGCACAAGGAGGTCCTGTCTCAAATAAGAACCAGTTCCAATGCTGTCTTCTGGCCACACTGGAGCCATCTCACATGCCTGCCGGCACTCATACACACAAGTGCACGCACATAAGTCTCCCCCACACACATATACACATACATGATCCTCATTCATCAGTAGTCATGTTTTTTTTTGAGCCAAATAGGAAATTCATAGAAATTAGGCCATTTACATGAACTCCTAGTTCAATGCTCCTTTTACAGTAGCACGTATGTAAATTAGGACATACGCTTATTCATCAATGTGATCTTGCTGATAATCAAACATTCTCCATTTTTTATTAAGGCACAATGAGACCCTTTCTTACCTTCGGGAGCCTGTATTTGTCCCTGAGGTGGACTCGGAGGCATGCCCTCTCTGCCTTTTTCTGAGTAAATGCAGCATCCCTCTCCATCCTAAGAAACAGGTAAAGAATAGGAGACAGGGTCACAGGAGATAGAGAGCTCCATACCTTCCGGCTGGTACCCAGGGAGCAGGACCTTGGGTCATAACTGATTGCACTGACCACTGACATTTGGGAAAATGTAGACTTCACCCTTCAAGCCCCCAGTATCTGCTTCTCTCTTGTTATCACCACGACGCTCCAGCACTCCAGACTCTAGGTCCTCAGGCAACCCTGGCCTGGGAATGTCTTCATGAAGTAGGCAAAGAGCATCAGAAAGATGGCTGTAGATGGGCCGCATGGTCCTGGACCCTGAGCCTCAGCATCCCCCACAGGGATGGCAGATTCCTCACTTTCTCCTCCTCTGCTGCCTCAGAACCTGGGGAGGCTGCGTTTCTAATAAACCTCTCCCTTGGGCACTTAGAGAAGCAAAACAAACAAACAAAAATCATCAATCAACCAACGAAACAACAACAACAAAACAAGGCATCCTATTCCGGGCCTGAGACATCCTTTGGAGGTGCTGTGGTGTTTGGAGACACGATGCCAGGTTGTTTCCCATCATTGTCACTGATGCCAGGCCCCGGTGACAGTGTTCAGGCAGTGTTAGCTTCCCTAGTCAGAAGCACTATCTACAAATGAAGCAGCTTGGATTCGCATCACGCCAGTCTGGGCGCCTGCTCAATGGACGACCTAATTCAGAGGTTCTCATCCTGTGTGTTGTGACTTCTTTGGGGGTCATGTACTGCCTGCCTGTACTACATGACAGTACAGCACTACTCCTCTATTGTGGCGCCTGCACTACAGGACCATTTGCCAGCCGGGCAAGGGCCTGGAGATTTAAACACACAAGGACACACAGACAGACACATGGGTCATCCTTGAAACAGGAATGCCCCAAGGATGCCCCCTTTATTGTATTCAGGGGCAGCTTATATAGGGATCCTTAACTGATAGCCATGCCCCAGCCAAACCCACCAGAAACCACTCCCCTGCCATCAGGAACTCCTGAGGGTCTCATGCTCAGAGCAGCTGCAAGCATAACACGTTGTTTACAAGAAATTCAGGATCTGGGGGTTCACAGTTCCCAACAGTGTCACATATCAGACATTTACATTTTGATTCATAACAGTAGCAGCAATACAGTTATGAAGTAGCAATGAAAATACTTTTATGGTTGGGGATCACCATGAGGAACTGTATTAAAGGATCACAGCATTAGGTAGGTTGAGAACCACTGACCTAATTGGACCCATGATTAGGCCAATTTGAAATGGATTTCCTGGGTCATGATGACCTATACAAAAGGATAAAGCTTTGGGAAATGCGTGCAATGCTCACAAGAATTGCTTCCTTCCCTAGTTACCCCGAGAAGTGCATGATTAATGCTGAATTTGCCCAAAGGCACTGTCAACTGGCTGTATTGAAATGGACCAAGTTGGATACAAGAAGTTTCTTTGGGAAGCTGGGATTGAGACTGAGACTGAGACTTAATCATGGTTTGAAGAATAACAAGGGAACTGGAAAGCAATTGGCTGGCCCTCTCCACTGCCCTGTGCTCTTACTCTTTGAGTAAGGAGACAGAAAAGCAGCGCCATGGGAACAGGACAAAGGCAGGGAATGGAAAGAGTGCTTGTGGCCCCAGTCAGCAGCCATTTGGGTCTCCCTGTGTGCCAAAGGCAGGCCTGGTAAGTGTTCTGCTTATAGACTTTGTGGGGCATCTTTGCACAAAGCACTATTTGCAGGGAAAAAAAAAGTCCTGTTTTCAATTTTTTTAGGTGAAAAGTGCCTTTTTTTTTTTAACTTGAAGATGCGAAGTAATTCCAAGCATTACACAAAAGGCTGACTTTGAAGACAAGCTACATCTGAAGCAAACAATCAAACTAAATGTGCCTGGGACTCAAGTGGTCTTGACTCAATTCTACTTCCAGAACGTTCTGAAATAGTCCTGAGACAACATTCTGTTCAACCTTCTAAGTTTTAGAGAATTAGGAAACAGTGATTTATCCCAGAGGTTAATGCCCTGCCGTGTGGGTAGGAAGCAGATCCTTTCCCCTCAATATTTTATTAGGAGAACTTTCAAACATACAGGAAACCTGGAAGAACCTTAGATTGAAAGCCACTTTTCAACGACCTAGCGTCTCCATTTCGTATCCCATGTTTCGAAACACATACCTACCATTCTATTAATTTCTTCTTACTTTTTGATATATTGAAAGTTGCAAATATCAGAACACCTCCCCAGAACCCTTCAGCATGCATATTATCCTGAGTTACGTATTTATTTATACTCCCTCTATTTTTTTCTTTTGAAGAAAATACTGCATGCAACTCAATTTCCCAAACTTTCACGTGTACCCTTTGGTGATGCCCCCAAATGCCCACACCTGGGCAACCCAAGGCCTTTAATCCAAAAGATTAAAAAGACACACCGTTTTTTTTTGACTTGACCAATTAAAGCAAGGCCAATTACAAATGTGCCTAAACCAGGAAGTGTTAAGCTGCATTAAGCATGGTGGACAGACTCGCTTAGCATTGCTCCGTCCAGTCCATCTCTATCAGCAGCGTGCAGAGGCAGCGATGCTGCAGGGGTCTCCTTAAGCAGAACCAACTTTCAGCGGGCTAGAGGTAAAGGTCAAAGGAAAAGCATCCTTGGAAGCCAAGAGCCATCAGCCTGGGCCCCCGGAGGCTGGCAGTCGGGATGGAGCTGCTCTACAGGGGACTGATGTCCGGGTACTCACTTCTCTTCAATCATCTGCTTCTGGTACTCCTCATATTCCTCTCTAGTCATCCCTTGAGCTGCTGCGGGGTCCGAGGTCCCTCCTTCTTCTTTCTTTTCTTCAGACCCCCCTCCAAATCCTAAATTCTTTACCTGGTTACTTATCATGCTTTTCACAAAGAAAGCCATGGTTGTCTCTGCCTGAGAGAACTGAAACCCAGTCAAAGCCTGACAGTAAACAAACCAGACCAAAGCAAAACCTCCAAATGTTCTCAACCACAGCCACACATTTGGGAGCGCAGGATTTGCGCAGCCTCCTCTGTCCAAGGGCACAGTGGTAGAGAGAGTGCTTTTGCTAGTCGTAAGCTGGATTAGAGGGTGAACTCAGCATAGAGGCAGATGGTTCCGATTACTAAAACCCACAGTCAGATTCAACCTTCTGCCTTATGATTAATACACTCAGCTAATTTTACAGGGCAGAAGCCCCACTCATTCCCTGCTCTGCTTTCCTTAGGCTTCTAAATTTTATTTTATTTTATTTTATTTTTGGTCAGAGCTGGAGGTTGAGTGCAGGACCTTGCACATGTCAGGCCAGAATACTGACTTTGAGCAATGCTCCCATTCCCTGAAGTTCAAAGTATATAGACAGCGCGGCTTCATCAGGAGGCCCATTTCAATTATATTAATTGGAGCCAAGTGATTAGACGGCTGCTGTGGAATTTCCACATCCCAGCTCTGGAGTACAACATCCTGTTGGAGACAGTCCAGTGAGATTCAAGCCCCAGAATGCTGTATTAAGCAAAAGTAAGGCTTTTGATCCATATCTGATCTCACGGGACTCTAAGTCTTAGGCAAGCGTTGCTTTGGGGTTCCGCTCAGTTTGGTTCCACTTCACTAGGAATGGTGTCTCACCCAGAATACACAAACCAGGCGAGAGGGTTCAAGGGGTGAGCCATGGTCTTTAGCTCACCCAGGGAGAGTTGCTTAGCTTCTTCTGCTGCATGGAAGTGCCATTCATCTGGTTTTGTCACTCTAAGAGACAGGACCCCAGGTGAGTCAAGCCCTCAGCATGCATTGCCTCTCTTTTTCCTTTATACACAGTGCTCTTCCTGGGTGATGTGCTTTAGCTCGGCTACAGCCCTCCACAGTGTGCTGTAACGGTGCATTCTCTCTGGCTATGGCTTTCTTCAGGTCAAGGTAAGAACTGACTGCAGCTAAGCCATTACTCCAGTAGTTCTCAACCTGGGGGTTGCAACCCCTACGGGGGCGGGCGTTGGACAACCCTTTCACAGGGTCACATATCAGACATCCTGCACATCAGGTATTTACATTACGATTCATAACAGTAGCAAAATGACAGTTATGAAGTAGCAATAAAAATAAAAATAGCAACAATAATAACCAATAATTATGGTTGGGAGTGATCACATAAAGAACTGTATTAAAGGGTCACATCATTAGGAAGGTTGAGAACCACTGCTTGAATCTATGTTCAAATGTTTCTGGTTAAAGAGCTGGGGGAGGGGGATGGACAGAAACCTTATTTGTAATTAATGCTCATTATTTTCTCAGCAGGAACAATCCTCCGGACATAGGCCACCACTCCTCAGAGTAACGGAAACAGATAACCTGGGTTTTGGTGTTTTTTTTTTTTTTTTTCTGTAACATGTTCACTATATATATTTCACGGCCTATTTTCCCTTCTACTAATCTGTTTTAAATGCGGCTCCAATAGCTTCGGCATTAAAGACCAAAATAGATAATGTGGAGTGAATTAGAAATTCACTGAAGACAAGTATTAACCCTTGCCCCGACTTTTGTTGTCAGATAGGTTGCCGGGAACTTAGCGCACTCAAACACTACCTCCAAACTCCTGCTAAAGGGGAGCTATGTAGCTCATCTCCCCGAGGGGTCTCACAGAGCCTTTAAGACAGTGAATTCTAAGTCTTAACCTTTAGACCTTGTGGGGTTTCCCCCTCTTACAGTTTAGAGCAGAGAAATCCTCTCTTAGTATTTTATATCCAAGCACATTAGTCTTCTATAGCAAAGGACAGCCTGCTGAAGTTCTGTCCTCTGTGAAAGGTATGGTCAGAGAGTGAAGCCACAGAGCTATGCCAACAGCCAATTTGGATGAGTGGTCTGAATCACAGAGTAAGTACTATACCTTAGCAAAACAAAAGTCCAAAATAATGAAAATTAAAACCCATTTTGTTATAGTTAGTTAAATTACTTGGATTTATTTTAAAATACAAAAATTGCACTTCATTAAAAATTTATTAATACTGTTAATGGAGAAGGTATCCATTCTAAACTCCAAACTAGCCTGTTAAACGTTTTCTCCTTCTCTCTCTCTTTGTGTGTGTGTGTGTGTGTGTGTGTGTGTGTGTATGTGTGCTTACACCCAGCCTTGCAAAAACTCTTAGATGTCATCACACCAGTGTAGAAATGGGATATCCCTTTCCAGCGCTTTGCTTTGGGATATGGAATTGACTCGCTCCCTAGTCGACACTCCCGCTGACGGAAACCACATCTTGCGTCTTGCTGTATTGCAGCAGTGATTGTATTTGACACCCAGTGACTATGTTCTGCTGTGTGCAAGATCTTTGTACAGATGGTTGGGGAATCTTCTGTTCTTCCAGGAAAGGGAAATAAATTCCACAGGGTGCTTAAAGTGAGACAGATAGGTACTGCTGTTCCCACGGCTCCCTCTGCCCCTGGGTCCCTAAGCCTCACTGTGGCCCGTGAGGTCTTACATTCTAGAAAGCTTCTGCTGTATTAGGTTTTCATACTACCCCTCAAGTGTCTTTAATTTTCGCTGTCTGCTCCTATATTTCCTCCCTCGTCCCCCTCTTACCTACTTCCCCACTTGATCCTCCATCCCAGTACCCCATCCATCTATTCTTTTTCCCTTTCCTAGGGAGAGCTATCTGTCCACTATAGCCCCTTACTCCATACCTAATCTCTGTGGTTCTATGGATAGTAGCTTGTTTATCATTGACTCAACAGCTAATATAGAAGTGAATGCATATCATATTTGTCTGAGTCTTGAGTTACTTCAGAGTGATTTTTTTCTAGTTCCACCCATTTACCTGTGAATTTTATGATTTCTTTTTAACAGCTGAATAATATTCCATTGTGTAAATGTACCATATTTATCTATTCATCTGTTGAGAGATAGCTAGGTTGTTTCCAATTTCTGGCTATTATGAATAGAGAAGCAATGAACATGATTGAGTAAATGCCCTCTGGTAGGATGAAGCATCCCTTGGATATGTGCCCAACAGGGGTGTACCTGGACCTTGAGGTTGATTGATTTCCAGTTTCCTGAGGAACTGCTACACTGATTTCCAAAGTGGATGTACAAGTTTGCACTCCCACCAGCAATTTAATTTCTAAATACCTTGTCTTGACTAATACGTATTTCTCATCACTGGCAAAGGTAAACATTTATCCATCGCTATCCACTGTATCTCTCCATGAGCTGAAGCCACAGATGGCAGGTCACCTTGGACAGCTGTGATGGTCAGTTTTAATTGTCAGCTCGACACAATCTAGAATAACCTGGACAGAGCATCTCAATGACCTTTGGGAATTTCTGCAGGAGACTGTTTTCTCTGTGCTCATGGAGGCCGAAGGGCTGTTCATTTTGGGTGGTACCATCTCCCGACTTCATCGTAGGGCAGGGGTGAACAGCCATACATTCATGTTCTCCTTGCTCCTGACTGGATGTGACTAGCTGGCTAGTACAAACCGAATGAAACCCATTTTCTCTTAAAGCTGCTCGTGGGCAACTGGAGACAGAACAGCAGGGTGCAGATTACAGATAAATAAAATACAGCTGCAAAACAGGGTCTATTTGGAAAATAGCTACTTAGGCCCCAACATCAAATCAATGAAGGAAAAAGTCAATTTACTAAAATATTTCTTTTATTTGAATAAGGTCATTGACATTTCCTGAATTCCAGCTAGCATCAAGTAACAATCAGAAAAGCAAAACAAAAACAAACAAACAACAAAAAACCTTGACAAAATGTTATATAATTGAAACTGACAGCGGAGAGAAGACCCTTTAAACTTTAACATCATAAAGGAAATGTCTTAAAACGGGCAACATACAGATTTTAAAAAGTTGCAAGAGCTGATCTCACCCTAAATCTTACAAATACAAAATTCCCAATGACTAATTTGTTCATCACCTTTCTCCAGCCAGCACTAGGCCCTGCGAGGGCCTCAGACCCCGGCCACCAGTCAGTTCTTTACAGAGACCGATTCTCAGCAGAGCAGCAGGTGAGCAAGCCCTGATTCAAGTCTTTTCCATTGTCCTCAAGTTATCACATGTGCAGCTGTCTGAGCTAAACCTGGAGACAATCAGAAGGCCAAGCTCCGGCAGGCAGGCTTCCTGACGAGCACACGTATGCTTCGCCATGAGCCACAGATGATTCTGCAAGGTTCAGAGTCATCACTGTCGCGCCAAGAGGTCAGCTGACAACCAGCGGTTGGTTTGTAGCTGCTGCTGAACAACGAGCTTTAACAAACAAACAGTAACAAGCACAGAAGAAGCAGCAGAGCTGCTGATCTCAATGACAGCGAAAACGTGCGTAGCTCAGCTTCCAGCCAACAAACACCCACCACACACACGGCTTTCCCTACTCCTCATTTTAGTGGTTCTCAGCTGTCAGTGGTGTCTGTGGAATGGACACTCTGAAGCCCCACCTGATTTGTGATGTGGCTAGATTGGAATGGAGCCTTGGAATCTGTATTCCTCATAAGCATTTCAGGAACTAAATGGCTGGTCCACAGGCCATGTCCTGAAAAACACTGACGTGTCTTTGATACGTGACAAAACGCTGTTATTGTGTATGACTTCATGGGGAAATTTTATGCTAAAGAAAGCATTCAAATAATTGTAACAAAACAGCGTATTACACAAATCTATCAGCAAATACATAATTGCAATTTCTTTCAAAAGTGGCATCATAAAATTACATTAACGTTTTAAAATAAATTTTGTTTTAATCCAAGGCACCTGTAAAATACTTGCTGGTGTTAGAAGTGAACAATTCCAGTTACACAGAACACTACAGAACGGAGGAACTCTGGCAGTGATAATTTCCCCCAGAGCAGGGTTTTGCTCAGAAGATTCAGATTTAATGATCATGAGGAAAACAAAGACAGACATACTGTGTGAACGATCTTGCTGAGTGATTTTTAAGCAATTAACAAGTAAAATGATTCCACTCCTTCTATAGGGACTAGCTGCCCTATAGAATCACGTCAGGAATGATCAGCGCGCTTCCCCTGGACTTGAGCCTGCAAAGTGTACACTGCCCTGATCTGGGGTTCCTTTAATGTTCAGGCACACATGACTGTGGACTTTGTCACGCTGGCTTTGGCAGCCTTTTATCTCAAGAAGATTTCCCAATGACTACAATTTGGCTTTTTTTCCTGAAAGTTTTTTTAAAATGTAAGTAAATTCTGGAAGATGACACTTGTGGAGCATGAGTTTCAGAACGTCAGCTGCAGAGGGGAAAGTGAGCAGTGTTGTATGCTGCAGTTTCTGCAGCCACTGCAAGGACACGGTCTGAGATCTAGAGGAACGCCAGCAGAAGAGGCGAGGCAGGACGGCACACACGGTGCACAGCACAGACCGCTGTTATAAAGTCTTCACATAGAGTTTAGGCTGTTAGCCCATCTGCAAGTAACATTTGAGGGAAAACTTACGAAGGCTTAGAACAATTTAGTTGCATATCTTAAACAGTGTTGTTCTGGATCCCATAGCAAACGAGACCATTACTTTAATAAGAGGTAAATTGTCTTGAAGCCAGCGGAAGTCCTAGCTCAGCTGTGAAAAGAAAAGTGAAATCTGCACTTGAAAATGTCACAGGTGGTTCCTCAAATACCTACAGCTAACGTGCGCTGCTATCAGCTCTTGCTAGCCTAATGTTTCCTGGTTAATTCACCAATGGACGCTTCACGGCATCCTTATATCTAGCATTTAAAGGAGAAACAGGAAGTATTTACTTTACAAACTTGTTTTCAAATAGCTCAGAGCTGCTTCTGCTATAGCCCCCTCAATTTACATTTGAAAGTCACAAACCAGAGTAATATAAACCAGAATGTATTGTAAGTCCTGTGAATTTAAAATAGCTGTAGAACATGTAATTAGAGCTAACTACAGGTTTGACAGATTGGGAGAAAAAAATTCCACAGATTAAAAGTATAAAAATTATTTCTGTAATATCAAATTGACATTATTAGAACGAAGATATTCAAGACAATGGCCATCATGAATGATTATACCAACAGGCAAAATATCCATTAAAAATCATCATCATAAGACTGTTCTCAACTAAATGATGTAGGCAAAAAGTAGTTATTCACTTCCCACAGAAGTTTTCTTTAGAAGTGAAATACACATCCAAGATTGAGGGGGAAATCATTTCATTAAATGCTTCAAGCTCTCAGACAAATCATTGATTCCACAGGGAGATGTGCTGGGACCAAAGGACTCTAGAACTCACTCTTGGATCGGGAATTCTCACTTCTAAAAATGACTTTGGTTACAAGACTCACATGAATAGGGTGCTCTTGTTTAGACCTCGTTTATATAAATATAGAAAGAACCCTCCGATAGCGGAGCTGGAGGGGAAATGCCCACAGCCGGCGGCTGCCCTGTTTTATGTCTTGCCTTGTCATCATTTTCTTCAGTGGCTGCACTTTGCCTACCAGAAGCTCGCTGACATGGAAAGACATGTGGTACTATGAACAAAATGTGGTTGTCTTGAAGATTTATTTTTACTGAAAAATTAATGCTATTTTATACAAAATTTAATAACTTAGACTATGGAGCCATTTAAATACCAAATCCCCTCGAAAAGACAACATTTGCACATTCATACATACATGATGTACATACAGGAAAATGAAGGTCAAAAGAATTTTTTGGCAGCTGCTTCTTGCTGAGTCCTAAAAAAAGAAAAGGAAAATCAACAGATGCTCTATATATTTAATTTGGGAAAGAAACAGGATTCTTTAAATTAAACTATCAATGCCCCCTGAAGTAGAAAATACTGAGATAAACACTGTAAACATGCACACCCAAGAGACTAGTGAACAAGTTTGCTTTGCACTGAATTGCTTGCACTTTCTCTATGTTAGAGAAAGCTGCATTAAGGTCCTAGTTAATTTCACAAGTATTTTATCCCCAAACATGTTGGGTCAAATGTCATCAGGAGACTCACCTGTACATGATATAGCCAATGAACAGCACTGTCTGCACGACTACAAATATCACAAAGTGGACTGTGGATAAACACGACGGAAATGGCGGTAGTTCTGGGCATTTTGGTTTGTCATTAGACGGCTGTAAAGCAAAGAATCTGTATTATAGTTAGTCAAATTGATGGCCTGGAAAGACATAAATGTGTAATTTTATAGAACTCTGTTAAATAAACAAGTATTTTCATTTACCCATTCCCCTAAATATTTTCTACCTATTTAACTTTTACTATCTTTTAAAAATTCTTTTTCTTTCAAAGAGCAACTGACATAAGAAGGATCTCCCTGTGCCAACTTGGTGCCACCTACCCCTGCCCCCAACTTCACTACAAACCATGATTTCAGTGCCCTTCAAGGCTCTAGAGAACAGGGCTCCCACAAACTCCTACTGCTCTGGATGCTTCCAGTTCACAAGTTCTGTCCTGGTATAATCAACAGCGCAGACCTCATGCTCAGTAACGTTCCAGTCCATACGATAAATTACATGCATCCTACCAACAAACTACTCAAACAGAATTTTGCTTCCTGCCTTTGCAATCTCACGTCAAACCTGACTGACTTCTGAAAACTGTCCATCTTCTGTCTCCAAAAGACAAGGTATCTTAAGGGGCTAATTAAACATCTGGGACAAAGACGTCCTATAGTGGCTTCTAGGACTGTTTGTTCTCAATCCAGCTGCATCTCCGAGGCACAGTTTTTAGGACACACCCTCCCACAGCACCAAGTTGGCCACTGCAACAAAGAAAATATCTTCAAACAAAACTAAAATGTTACAATTTGGATAAAAAGTCAGGCCAATAAGAAAACTAGTAAGTAAGATTTGCAAAAATGATTCAAGGCATGAACATAGAAATGGTTAAGAAAGGCAGGGTCCAGATATAATGGGAATGAGATTGGAAACTGAAGACTAGAGTGTTTTCCCTCTAATGATCTTGAGAAAGTCATGTTAGTATTATTATTGCTGACATAAACGTAACATATTTCAAGGGGTTTGGGTCTTCTGTTTCTTCTAAGCTTGATTAGGACCAACCATATTCCAAATACGTGTTGTACAAGGCCACCAGCAAGGAAAGCACTCAGGATAATCTTATTTAACTCTATCTAATCTTAGCTTATCCGATGTGACATAATAATAAAGTATCAATAAAATTTCAGGTCAGAACCTTGGGAGAACATATGCCAAAGAAATATGCTTTTAAAAACACAGACTCACAAGAATATACAAAACCAAGTCAGCTAAAATCCTAGTACTAGGGAGGGAAGAGCTAATGAAGTTCTACCCCAGCTTAACTCCTACTGGCTACTGCCGGCTCTCAGGGGGAGGGAGTCAGTTCTCTGCAGGGATGTGACCCTTAATGCACTGCCAATGCTCTGGGGGTGGCCCTCATGGACACACAGGCAGCACTAAGTTGTCTGGGGTTTAAAGAGCACATGGTGGGGGGAGTAGAAGTGGTAGGAGGGGAGCGAGTAGGGAATGGGTCTGATCAAAACACCTTATGTCCTACAGCCTCCCTTCCTCATCCCATCCTTTACTGCTAACACCTTAGCTTCTCTCTCCCTGGAACCCCAATGACCACTCCCACCAGAGAATCAGGAAGGTGATCTTCACTCTCCTAGTCCTCCAATTCAAATCCCCCAGTCTCATTCCCAGCAATGCAGCAGGCTACCGTCAGGGGCTAGCCTTCCCTCCCTTCCTCCATTTGCTGCAGACCCCAGAGATACTCTTAGTAAACCCATCTTTCCTCCCTCCTGTCATCTTCTCAGCCCCCAGCTCTTCCAGTCCATCCCCATTCCTGCAGGTCACTCCCAACACCCCGAAACAAGTTTACTGAGGATACCTACTGGCTATAGCTGCCAGGGACCCCAGAAGCACTCCTTACCAGACAACACATTGTGACCGCATACTTCTAAGACCCAAAGAGTGCAACAGAAACCAAGGACCAGAAAACTCACCCAGCAAAGACAACACCTAGAATCACAATCATCCCAAACTCAGATGCCTAGTCAGCAGCATAAAAACACATTACCACCCAGGAAAGTATGTCTCCACTAGGGAAATGCAATATAGCTGAAACACAAGACAAGGACTTCAAAATGGCTATTGTGAATTCATTTGGAGTCCTTAAACAGAATATGAAAAAATGCACTAATGAAATCTATGGAAATACAAACGGGACATTAACAAAAACAACATGATATTTCATAAGCTGCAGACAAAGCCTTTGACAAAATGTAACACTCTCAAGATAAAAGTCCTGAAGTGTCTAAGATACAAGGACGTACCTTAACATAATAAAGGCAGTTTCCAGCACGCCCAAAGCCAACATCAATTAAAGAGAGGAATACAAAATTTCTACTAAAATCAGGAACAACGAGGTTGCTCACTCTCCCCCCATCTATTCAATATAGTACTCGACGTCTGAGCTAGAGCAGTAAGGCAACTAGAGGCAGTCACGGTGCTGTAGAAAGTCCTACAGCCAGTAGTTACCCGCCCACTGGGGCGTGGCCTCTTATACTATTTATGCCAATGTAGAGCATGCCTCCAGCCTCTCTTTTCCCACTGTGGAATTTCTGTTCTCAGTTCCAGCAGAGGATTCTGATTTGTGAGTCTACCCCTAAATAAATAACTGTCTATTTCTCAATTCTGAGCTAGTGTGGGATTTCTTTTAAGTGTCCTTCTTCACAAGGGGACACAAAAGTAGAATGAAAGAAGCCAAACTATCTTTATTTGTAAATGATATCATAGCTGTGGTTTGAATGAAAATGGCTCCCATAGGCCCCCAGAAAATGGTACCAGTAGGAGCCGCGGCTTGTTGGAGGAAGAGTATCACTGGGGTGGACTTTAAGGTTTCAGAAGCTCAAGCCAGGCCCCTCGTCATGCTCCTTTCCTGCTGCCTGCAGCTCTAGATGTAGACACCTTAGTTACCTGTCCAGCACCATGCGTGCCTACATGCCACCATACTTCCCACCATGATGATAATGAACTAAACCTCTAAACTGTAAGACAAATCCCAATTAAATGTTTTCCTCTATACTACCGCTGTAGTCATGGTGTCTCTTCACAACAATAAAACCCTAAGACAGAATTATACATCAGTGACCTAAAAACTCTACCAGGAAGCTTCTACAGCTGATACACACTTTCAGCAAAGTAACAGGATACAAAATTAAAACACATACACACAAAACCAGTAACCTTCTGATTACTGATAGACTGAGAAAGACATCAGAAAACAACACTTTTCACAATAGCCTCAAAAAACAAACAAACAAACAAAAGCTTGGTATAACTCTAACCAAGCAAGTGAAAGACTTGTATGATCCAAAATTTAAGACACTGAAGAAAGAAACTGAAGAAGACATCAGAAGATGGAAAGATCTTCCATGCTCATGGATCGGTAGGATTAATATAGTAGAAATGGCCATCCTACCAAAAGCAATCTACAGATTCAAGGCAGTCCCTATCAAAATTACAACACAGATCTTGAAAGGACAATTTTCCGCTTACTTTGGAAACACAAAAAAACACAGGAGAACTACAACATTTCTGAATGATAAAAGAACTGTTGGAGGTGTCACCAGTTCCAACCTCAAATTGTACAACAGAGTTACAGTAATAAAAACTGCATGGTATTTGTATAAAAAACAGACATGTTGATCAAGGGAATAGAATTGACAACCCAGATATAAAACCACATACCTACAGACACCTGTTTTTTGTTTTTGTTTTGTTTTTTTTTTTTTATAATAAGTCAGAAATACACATTGGAAAAAAAGATAGCATCTTCAACAAATGATGCTGGTCAAACTAGGTGTCCACATGTAGTTAAATGCAAGTGTATCCATTCTTATCACCGTGCACAAAACTCAACTCCCAATGGATCAAAGACCTCAACCTAAGGCCATATACAATAAAAATGATAGAAAAGAAAATGGGGAATAATCTTGAGCTCATTGGTATAGGAAAAGACTTTCTCAACAAAACATCAATAGCACAGGAACTAAGAATAACAATAATGAATGGCCTCGTTGGGGTGTTTTGAAAGAAAAATAGCCCCCACAGACCCACAGTGAGTGGCACTGTTAGGAGGTATGGCCTTGTTGGAGTAGGTGTGGCCTTGCTGGAGGAAGTGTGCCACTGGGGGTGGGCTTTGAGGTCTCAGAAGCTCAAGTCAGGTCTAGTGACTCACTGTCTCTTCCACGCCTGTAGATCTGTGCCTGCAGATCAAAAGATGTATAACTCTGAGCTACTTTTCCAGAACCATGTCTGCCTGCCTGCCTGCCTGCCTGCCATCATGCTTTCTGTCATGATGATAATGGATTAAACCTTTTAATGTAAGCCAGTCCCAATTAAATGTTTTCTTTTATAAAAGTTGCCATGGTCATGGTGTCTCTTCACAGCAATAGAAACACAAACTAAGATACTTCATAAAACTGAAAAGTTTCTGTATGGCAAAGGACACCATCATTTAGACAAAGCACCAGCCAACGGAATGGGAAAAGATTTGTTACCAACTACACATTCAATAGAGGGCTATCTAAAAGATACTATCTATCTATCTATCTATCTATCTATCTATCTATCTATCTATCTATCTATCTA